TTTTGGTTCACCAAAAATGCGCTCGGATTTTAATACTAAAATAAATTAAATCAAATATACTTACAATTTCAGTAGCCGCCAGGCCATGTGACATGCCCTAAAATACCGTATCGTTAGTCCTGAAAACGGCTTGTCTATTAATATTGAATACTCAATTTGAAATAATTTGTTCAGTGTTATTTACTTAGTTGGGCCTGCAGGCAGCCCATACAAAACTATATAATAGGTAGCAGAGATGGGAGGAGATTCAGAGTAAAGAGGTACCTCGGTCATGCTTTCTAAAATGGTATGGCCTGATACAGTGCGTACCTCACAAACTAAACAACTCTGATTTTGACGAGAATGTTAACCCTTTGGATAAACCAGTTAGACTTAAACACGGCAGTACATTGGTTGAGTTACAAAATTGCACTACAAATACTGTAGCTAAGAGTATTGTTAACAACAAATTTATCTCGCCTAGATCTGAGACCTATTTTACTGTATTATTGAATATTTCACATTTGATGTCTTGATTGCCAATCTACCAGTTAACCTTTCGTACTACAATTGATACTCGTCTCAGAGAATTTCAACTCAAAATAACCCATAATATTCTGACCACAAACAAAACATTATTCAAGATGAACCCTGCCATTGTGGAGTCTGATCTGTGTACTTTCTGTTCATCATGCTCTGAATCTCTTATCCATTTGTTTTACCAGTGTCAATGCACCCAAGATTTGGGGGGAACACTGTACATGCTTTGGGGGGGGGGGCAAGCTTGGCCTGAGGGCATTCCCGAATGCACAATAAATTCTTTTCTTTTTGGGGGTGATATCTTTACATGTTTAGTCAACTTCCTCTTTCTGGTAGCAAAAAAATATATTTACTTGTGTAGACATAAAAATCAAAAGCCAGAATTCATGGCATACAAAAGATATGTAAAATATTTCCTGGAGATAGAGTACTTCATTGCTGTCCGACGGAATAGGTTGACTTCTCATAACAAGAAATGGGGATATTTTATGAAAAATGTTACCCAATCCACTTCACAATATGTAGTTTAATTGCAATTTGTAATGTACAAACCAGTTATGTAAGATGTTAATTTCAGTGCAAACTCCAATAAAAGTTTATAAATACAAAAAAAATATAATAGGTAGCAGAGTGTCACAATACGCAAAAATGCCTCCATAACATTACTTGTTTTGGTGAAGTAATAAAAGGGATTTGTATATAAATGATCATCGGGTATTGTGCATGATGTTGGAGCTCAGTCTGTCTACTGTAAAATACTTTATTTTTGCTTGGAATTTATTTTCGCTGAAGGAATGACTCAGTGAACATAAAATATAGCGAATATACATTTTTTCCTATATTTTACATTCAACTTGTCAAAAATTGGTAAAAATAAATCCCATACAAAACACTTAACATTTTTATTGTCCTAACCTTACCTGAAAAAGGTGTGTTTAGTTCTGTGTTTGGCTGGCCCCCAAACCGTAACAGAAAAGAAAGAAATGCCATCATCACTGGGAGGTATAACAATGCCATCCATGGCTAAAACACAGTTTGACACTAAATTAAATGATGCAACATACAGATCAATATCAAATCCTAATCGATACGAAATTCAACTTGTATAATTGAACAAATTCCTGTGTCAACTCTTGTTTTATGTTCCATGGACAATATTACCAGAAAACGATGTGGAGTTTACAAAACATCGCATTTGTACAGTATACTGTGTTCATCTAAACCTACCAGGTAAATTAAATTCTAGATACTGGTAATTGAGGCAAGTCAATTGTCACTTCCGTAAATGTGTAAGTGATAAATGTTTTAACTTCTTTCTGCCCACCTCTGTTCATAAACTGTTTTGCAACTATTTAATTTCAATTTTCTATGATAGGCAAATGTTAGACGATAACTCTTGATTTATGTCCAAAGTTAAACATTGGATATGTGGATTCCAATTAGAGCGGGATGGATAATTTTCGTTTTTTTTTAAATTGAAAAAAAAATCTGGCTTTTCATAAACCAATCAGATGTTTGACTTTCTTGAGAAAATTGTTTTGTGGAAGCTACATTTGAATGCAATTTGTCAAGTGTCATTGCTCTAAAACTTGTTTGTGCTTGAAAATGCTTATTTCTGCAATATTTTAGAACAATTCAGCGAAAGCATGGATGAATACAGTGCATCAGAAGTAAGTTGGCACCACTTTATTATCAAAAAGATTATAGACTTCTATAGATAGCCACATGTCTCACCATGTTTTGCAAAAACAACGTAGAATACAAATGTTGATAACCCAATCAATCTTCTATAGTCTAATAAGATCTTGTCCTTTTTTAAACAAAGTTTGAAGCAGTCTTCGTTTGTCCGTTCGTCTGGAATCATATTTCAGAATCCTGTGGACCAAATTTGTTCATTGTTTGCATGTATCTATCTTTAACATGCACATGCAGTGGTTTACTGAATCAATCCAAGATTGCTGACTGGCAGCCATTTGTATGAACATGTGGTATATTGTACATACGTGCAAGTAGAGTACAAAGTTGGATGACTGCCTGACATCTTGTTTTTGACCATACTACTGTATCTTTGTACCTGGACAAATGAAATTCAGTTTGGATACAAAAAATGCATGAATAGCATATCCTGTTTAACTTCTGACCATATATTACGATTTTGGAAGAGTCATTTAATATATATAATTTCTGTTGATACTAGACCAGCCAAATATTCACTATCAATTACTAAATATGCTTTTGGTCCATATTACTTTCTTTTTGGCATGAATAACATTTCCCCTAATTCCAACAGGAACTTTTTTGTGTTTAATAAATGTTACTTTTTTTCTAATTTATTGAAATGCTTAGCTATACTCCTATTTTTGCAGATACAGTTGAACACTGCTAAGTAACCAAATCAATATTGGACACTTTCTGCTTTGCAAGATCATTTTAAGTTACTGTAACCTGCCAGAGATTTTGCTCTATTTCAAAGAGGAATTTGAAAAAGGAAAAGGGAATATGAGAACCTGATTCCACTGAATTTACACATTTAAGAGACAATGTGCAGTAAATAAAACCATGTATATTTGATAATCTTGAATCTGTCCTATATAGACATTTCAGTGTTAATGTGCTTTACAATTAGCTTGAAAAATATACTGTTACTAATTTGTTATGGTTCTATAAATGAAGGATTTGATTGGCAACTGAACATTTGTTGACTGTAAATTATACGCTTTTTAAATAGGACAAGGTCACCAATAAGTGAGTTTGTAAGCATAGAAGCCACCTTAACTCAGCCTAGCACATTTAAAAATCACATGCTGTGTGAATGAATTGATGCTTGTCAAAACAAAAACACTTTCCAATTGGATTCAGAACTGTGTATTTCAAAGAACTTGTGGTGTCAGGAACACCTTTGAAGATGGACATTCAACCAGTGCTTTATTGAAGACATTGATTGGGCTTATGTGATGGTCATATTTATTAATCTTATATGTACTGTAATCTCATTATTAATAAATACATAACTATCGTTTTCTGGAACATCATTGTAAACCTAGACGTTGAGCCAATGCATATAATAATGATTCAAGTGGATCTGCCATTTTTGATGGCTTTCTTGTTTCATTGTTTATCTTAACATTTAATCTTTATTAGTCTGCAAAACGGAGTATTATTTGTGTTGCAGTTGCAGTAAAGCTCTCAAACTAAGACCTAAGTCTATAAAACTGAATATTTTCTCCAACCGTGCATATCGTTCCTCAAAATACAAGGTACAAGTCAGTATTATCAATGGCATGCATGTAATCCCTGTCCATTTTTCAGTGAATGTGTACTATAAAGCAGAATATTCATATAAATATCGAGAAACAGGATTAAACAAGACTTGAGCTTGGGAAGTGATTTTATTAAAATTAAAATAGATTTGATCATGAAAATGAATTTTAAAACGAAAATGAATTTTAAAACGAAAATGGATTTTAGAATGAAAATGAATTTTAAAAAATGGATTTTAAAACGAAAATGAATTTGAATGAAAAATGACAGTTCAAATAAAACCAAGATTAAATCAAAAACGAATGTTAAATCGAAAACGAAATTTAAAATGAAAACGAAAGTTAAATCGAAAACGAAATTTAAAATGAAAACGAACGTTAAATCGAAATTCAAAATGAAAACGAAAGTTAAATCGAAAATTAAATTGAGAAGAAATAATAAAGTGAAAACTGAAAATATAATTTAAAACGGAAATGAAAATTTAAAAAAAAATACAAAAATAAAGCCTAATTATTGAATATTGCCGTACTTAAATGACATTCTACTAACTATTCACCCAATGTAGATGACTCCAAATCAATCGTTTAACCAATTAAACTTTTTCAGTTTTCAGCTGGCTTGGATCTCCATCTGGTTCCCCCCGCCGGGAATGTTTCCATGTCAAAGGGCCGTTTATAGCAACGCTACCTTGTATCAAATCTCGCAGGTTGGGTTGTTTGTTCATCCTTAAAACAGGTCAAAACCAGGATGAAATAATGAAATTTGGCTCCAATATTCCGATTTTCAATTTGTCGTAGTACGCCCTCAGTCCAATTTAATACATTAAGCTCGTATTTTGTAAGTTTAACTGTGATAATGAGAATAAAATAATGAATGGCCACAGTATGTAGGGCAGATGTACGCATAATTTAAAATGAAATAAAACCGCTGTGGCTTTATTACTTGAAGCATTAAATATGGATATTTTTCATAGTCTAAGTGTAAATTTCAAAGATGAAACATGACGTTTTGACATAATTCCATCTTGTTTATTTGATACACGCAAGGAAAAATGAATGGCCAAAATTATTTCTGTAGCGATTTTTAGATTTACGCCCTCTGTGGCAGAACTCTGTCGTACGTTTAATTCGGCCCGTGAACCGTGTTGGGTGCCGTGATTGGTTTATGCAGACGATAACCTTTGTCCCAAGATTTACCGAATGGGTTATCGAGGTCGCGTTATTTGATATCGCGTGCTATTTTGCTGAGGATTGTTCATTCTCCCAAATTAACCAGAGTTTGGTGTATTCACTCAGAAGTACCATCAACGGAGTGAAACATTTAAATCCATATAGTAACACTCTTGTGGAAATAGTGGAACGATCAGTGTATATATGTATTGCTTGGTTGGTGACGCCATTTTGTGAAGAAATACACGGCTGTCAACGCACTAACAGCAGCTGTGTTCACTATTCAACTTTTTCTGTTTTGAAGTCGATCAAGTGCACGGGTATCAGTTCTTGTGTCGCCGAGTTACAGACGAAGTCCAGCAGGTATGTACCTTCGTGACATTCCGCTGCTGCCACATGTATTCATATAATGCACTGTACTCGTCGTGTTTGTTGTGATACGATGCGATGGCGAAATGTGTGTCAATATTGTTGACTGCGCGAGCGAGTCCGCGTTCGTGCCTTTGACCTCAAATATGTCGATCAGATCTCTCTTGTTTGTTTGCCACTGGTGTTACTAGCGACCTGCACCTGGTTATCGGATTAGAGTAAACAGTAATTGTTTTTTACCTAAGACCGTGATTTCAGTGTGTTCTGCTCTCCCCATGCGTATTGCAGTTGCATAGTGGAAGTACATACTTCCTATTCACAGGGCAATGATATGAATACATGAACAGACTTCCGTTAAGTTAAAATTTACAGGAAACGTTAATCATAGGTAATACGTTTATTATTTACGTATTAGTTGTTCGTGTTGTCGGGAGTAAGAGTAACTCGCACAAGTAAGAAGCGAATGGGTTGTTGACCCATCTCTGATATCGTGTGTTACTGTTAGGCATACATGTTGTAACTTCGATTGAAACCATAATTGAGTGAAAGATTAAATGTATACATTTGATCACCAAATATCATTATGAATATGCATAACTGATACCACAGGCATAAAAAAAGTTGTTTACAAGTTAATCCTGATAACATTTTAATTTGCATTCAAATATGACAATATACATTTGTACCATGGTTCCAAGGTGGTCAATTTTTCAAACTACTGTTACCGGTAATACATGTAAATGTAAATTTTGGTGGCCATTGCAATAGGGTCATGAAGCGCTCCCAACACAAAAAATGTATTTGTATTTGTAGCCTGCTTGTTTATAATTTATGAATTATATAATTGTATTTGTTATTACATGCGCTTAAATATAGTAAATATACAAGTTTACTATAAATATTTAAAATAACAAAAGTATTATAACCTAAATAGCTGTAGTTGCTATTCCTATCTGAATGTACTACGTATGAAAGCAGCATTATATATTGACGCACCATGGCCTGGCTACCATAGGGAAATATACTTTTAAGTTCAAGAAAACCTTCAACCTTATGCATTGTAAAAATAAGTAATAATTTTATTAAAGCGCAGGAGTCGTCATCTGCGCATACGTCAGATAGCCATAGTGTGTCATTGTTTACAAACAAGCATCTACCCATGAGCCTTTGCATTTTTAGCGTGTGTTGTTATCGCTGTTTGGGCCTAGATTCCCGCGCTTGCGCAGGTGACAACCCTCTTGTTTTAATGTACTATGTCCATGTTTCAGTAAAAATGTTCTATCTCTATTGTAACATCCCCCCCCCCCCCCGCCTTAGAAAAAACAAACTCTGAGCATTATGTATTAACTTACCATAGCCTTGTCACCAGGGAAATAATGCTTTCTTCTCCAGTACAAAACATTCCCACACACCATTCCACATCAAACTTAGTAATGAGGAACAGAGAAACAAATTTCTGTATTTTTGGTAGCCCTACCTACCCAAATTTATATTTTATAAAAATTCTTTTTAATTGAAAAAGGCAAGTTGGGTAGTACCAATATCAAAGGTAAGTTTTCAAAATTTCTTCATAAACCATTTAGGTAGTTTTAGCTTGTTACTGGAAAATTATGCAGATTTTTGTTTCCGTATAACTACATGTATCAATCTACCACGGCTTTGTTTTCATTGATTAACTAACTATCCTCCCAAATAACCATCATCCATTGTAGATCAGCTATACATGTATTAACCCACTGTGTCCTAGTCCAGACGAAGCTTGTGCATTGTATAATTAACTACTAACCTTATTAATCCATCACAACTTTGTTTTCATTAGAGACAAGTAACATTCTAACCCCATTTACACAGGTGGCCTTCACATTTAGATAACTGTTGGTATTGAGATTGTAAATAGTTTAATATATAGACCTTCAGTCTATTGCTGATACACTAAAAAATCACAAAGGAGGAAAGCTTTTGCAGACCTCAGATCAATAAAAAATCAAATGCTCCCATCAACCACACACATTCATGAAAATAATATTGCGTGCAGTGCATGTGCAGTTGAATGAACACTGATAATAACATCATCACATTCTATGTACATGTGCATTTAACCATCCGTTAATGTTGTATGAACATGTTTAAAATTGTTATAGTTGCGTTTGAATGTCTTCCCTGTTTAATTAATTGCGCGTCATGTTCATGTCACATACAAACACTTTTCCTTTTTTACTTCAGACACATAAGCGCTACCAGCGCGTGATGGAAATAGATTTCTCTCACGGACGCAAATGTTCACACAGTGCAAAATGCAAAACTTTACCATTTTATTATTGCCACAAGCAGGAAAAAAATGTAATAAAGTTAGCACGAGAATACCTCAAAGTATACACCTAGCAGTACAGTAAACCTTCCACTATGCATCTAGTGATATGGTCACTGTACTGCCTTTGTGCATACTTTTTGGTATTCTCGTAATAACCTCATAACATAAACAAGGATTTTTTTGATTTTTTTTCACTTGTTGCTACAAGCGAAAAAATATTACATGTTTTTATTTACACTTGAAAGTACTCACTCCAAAAAAATATCAACACTGCTTTTTGCAATACCACACATTATCTATGGTATTTTCCATGAATATCCTTTTTAATTTGTGGAACTTCCACAGCAAAAACAATGAGCGTCTAAAATAGAGGTCTGTCTGCACTTCACTGTTGGCATTGGTTCTTTGCCAAAAACAAGTAATTTTTGGTTGAAAAAGTTAAAAATTTGTACACATGTATGTACCGTATTTATTATCAGTCAGTAATGATCTTGTGCTTTTTACTACAATGTGACCAACACTGACCAAGTCACAGAAAAATGTCTATCTCTTATATTATCTTGCAATTTGAAGGCCAAAAAATAACACCAGGGTCAAAAGATATTGTGAGTTGAATACCACTGAATATATATTACCACAGATGAAATACAATGGAACACGCAGTTGTTATTACAGTTACGCATATATTGTACATTCTTTACAGCACGAATTTCAAAAACCAGTTACTGGTAACATAGCGGTTGTCACATCAGACTCTTGATCGGGAGACTAAATTTAAATCTTACCTTAGGCTGAACACCCAAAAGGATCGCCCCCCTACCCTGGGTGAGTGTGCCACAGACTCGGGGGGGGGGGGGGGGGGCAAAGCCACTGTATTCTGGGGCTAAAGCGACTGCCTAAGATTCATTCACTAACAGATGCAACTTTGGGAGAATCTTATATAAGATATGCAGGTGCTTGTGTTCGACTGAACCTGGTTGACACTGGGATAGCATATTACATTCCATTTTGATAGACTGATTGGTGCACAGTCCTGTCGTAGCAAAAACATCCAGAAGAGACGAAACCATAACACTCGGTGTCAGGAGTCTGGCAAAAAAAATATTATTAAAATACACAAGTGTACATCAAATGTGATGTTTGAATTACGGGTATACATGTATGCGCTTTTATTTGACATGTGCCTTTAATAGAACCAATATGGTATTCATCATTGTATGGTTCTTGTACTGCACTTAAATTATCCGTCTAGTCAGGAGAAATACTGTAGTGGTTGAAAAAATAGTAAATTGTCAGATATATTAATTTTTTATTTTCCTGAATTTAAACATCGCAACATTTCTAGTGTGAACATGTCTTCATTTCAGGTCTGAAACTCGCATGGAACTCAGTACTACCCATGGTCTAGTCAACCCATTGCAAAGCACACCTTGGTCTCTACCATTTGTGTGGTTAACAGCTTTATTGAAGGGCAGCATCATTCTGCTTGTAGCACTCGGGGATCTAATTTACAGTAAAAACTAGGGGTGGTCCGAAGTAGTTGAAACTATACATAAATGGTAACATCTCAGAAAGGTACTTGCCACCTGGTTTCAGTTACTGAAATTCTACACATAAGTCGCTATCGACATATTCTATGGTTTCGATTGTTATATATTTGCAGTTAACCATGGACCATTTAGAACTGGCATAATTCCTCAAACCTGCCGGCAACAGCCAGGTTCTTGTTACACACTCCAATATTTGTTTTGTCAGCTGAGGACTATTTGTCTGGAAAGGTGACCCATGAAATTATAAGGTTAAAGTGCAAAGCTAAAAAGAACATGAAATGCAACACTTGTATTAATGTATGTACATGTGGTCTAAGACATAAAACAAAATGAATTCAATGTCACTGAGGGTCAATATACATGTACAGGTAGCTGCTACATTGTATTAAAAGCTTTCACAAGTGCCATGGGCAGAATTCAAGGTTGTTCAAGTAAGATATTCATATTATGCATGTAAAATGCCAAGACTGTGTATTGTGATTAGTGTGAATGGATGAACTTGGTGAAGACTGTTGAATACGTTATCAATGCTTGGTTTATTTTCTTAAAATTGCTAATTCCTTGTTTTGTATAAGGAACAATATTTTAACACTGCTAAATCAATTTTGTTTTGTATAGCCATTGGCGATATTCTTACGAAAAACTTGCGAATATCTTTAGTAGGCTCAAACCAGCATTCTGATTAGTTAATAAATGCTTTGATCTATCCGGACGAAGGACACAGTTTCAGCCCATGGTAAAAACATAGCGGATATCAATTTCCTTGTTTTTGTTCTGCCAAAAACAATTTGTATAACAATCCAATGAATTATTTCATGTTCATTATTATAATCACAACTGAGTAATCAACATTTGTAACACCTTGAAAACAAGTAATATTAAAATGTTGAAGAGTATATAAACGGATAAACTGATCTCAGTAATTGTTTTTTATTTCAAACTTGTGTTATGCTTGTCATTACTAACAAAACTTAAATCAGTGCACATTGCACTAAAATTACTGAATATTTATTTTTGTTATAATGTGGAAATAAAGACAATTTTTGTTTTTTTGTTGGACTAGCATTTTCAACTGTTTGTAATGCTTGATTTAGAACCAAATTACAGCCTGTTACTTTCATTAGATGCCTAAA